GGGATTCTCCAGCCCCTTCCCCATTTCCCTCAGGGATTCTCCAGCCCCTTCCCCATTTCCCTCAGGGATTCTCCAGCCCTTCCCCATTTCCCTCAGGGATTCTCCAGCCCCTTCCCATTTCCCTCAGGGATTCTCCAGCCCCTTTCCCAGCTCCGTTCCCATCCCTGGCAGCACCAGGGCCGGGGGGATGAGGGACTGGAGCATCTCTGGGGGATTTGCTGAGCAGTGAAGGGAGGTGTCAAACCAGGCTCTGCTCCCTGCTGCCAACCACTGGGCCACGAGGCAGGAGCTGATGCCAGCAAGTCCCACGTGAACAGGAGCAGGAGCAGGAACTGTTCTCCCGTGCAGTGACGGAGCCCTGGCACGGGGGGCAGAGAGGCTGTGGGGTGTCCCTCCCCAGAGATGTTCCAGAGCCCTCTGCACACAACCCTGAGCCGTGTGCTGGCCCTTCCCGAGGGCTGTGGGTCCTTCCAGCCTGACCCCATCCTGGCACTCGGGGATTTCGTGACCCCACGACACCCAGCCCAGCCCCCAGGGGCACGTGTGAGGATCAGCGGCTGCCTGAGCTGAAAATGGAAAACTCAGCCACTTGAGGGTTGTGCTGAGGGCTCAGCTCTCCCCTCCCTGCAGCCCAAAGCTCATCCCGCTCCCTTCTGGGGGCGTGAAACTGGAATATCCTGAGCCCCAGTGAAGGAAACGCTGCCTTAGGACGGTCGGGACAAACTCCGGCGCTCTCTTTATTCTGGTCTTAAAGTTTTGCAGTTTATTTCGTGGGGTGTGGGTTTATATGAGGCCCTGACAGGAACTGCAGCCACAGCTCAGAGCAGGACGGAGAGAGGGAGAGAGCGAGAGTGAGAGAAGAGAGCTCAAAAAAAGTAAGAACGACGAGAGGAAGAGCATAAGAGCGAGATTTTCCCGTTTACAATACATTAAATCTTCTTCCATGTTCAGTATTCCAATTTCCACTCACCAATCTAATACAAGATACAAATTCTTTACCATTTGCATGCAGCCTATAGGAATC